TAAGTGTCGATAAAGGGATCTGTCAATGTAATGATTGTCGATGAAGTGAACTAGACCCCCTTCAGAAAGTGACGAAAATCGAATGGCTCGGAAGTGATCAGATTAAATTGCTAGGAAGTTTATCGTCCATACTCTCATTTGAATCATTGCAGTCGTAATACAGCAGATTACTATGAACAAGTCTGTATGCAGAAGGTTATAATAAGGAAATCGCCAGAAAGCGATCAGGTTAAATCTCTGGAAAAGTTGTCCTCCAAGCACCCTCTGATTCATTGGAATTGAAGTATTGTAGCAAATTGCAATTAGCAAGACTGTAAACAGAAGGTTACGATCTTGAAATTTCTAGGAAGAAATCAGATTAAATAGTTAGAAATATTATCTTCCCAGCGTCTTTTGAATCATTAGAATTCACGTATTACAGCATATTACCATGAACAACCCTGCATTCAGAAGGTTACAATCAAGTTTGACTTTTTGATGTCTTAATGAACTTGTATAATGGATTTTTGTAACAAAATATATTCGAATTATTTACTTGTATCTGATCTACCATATGCAATTTTATCAATAATTAGCTTTGACTGAGGAAGCAAGAAATGAAATTTGTTTCCAGTCGTTACAAACGCAGGAAATTAATTTTATCTTGTAAACTTTAGATCACGATTTCTAAGATGGAGAAACTAAATGCGTAAGTGGGTTGTATTATCTGAAATTTTTATCTTAACTGAATATTTACTTTAATCATTGTATTTTTCATAGAGGTATTAAGGAATTACAGATATTACATATTTAGACTTACAAAATAGCATAATAACATATAACATTACGAAATAAATATATATNATATATATATATATAGATAAACGGGTGGCCTCTGACTAAAAAGCGTTAGCTACAGTGAAAAGGTTCAACTAGATATCATACAAAATGAAATTTCTTATTTTTATTCGCATATCAAGTTTATCATTTGTTTGGGTAAGTACTGTTAATACTTTATTTAGCATGTATTTCGCTTCATCATATTTTTTATAACGAGAAAGCAAATGCATCGTTAAGAAACGAAAGAAAAATCACATTCAAATTTTTAATTGAATTATGTACTTAGCTGCGTTGAGGGTAAAGTAGGAAAAGTTTACAATTAATAATGAGTTTAACTTGAAGTAGAAAGGGCAATTTTTGGGAAAATTTATTAATTTTTTGTAATTTTCACTGCCTGTATATATCACTAACTGGACAGCTCTTGCAAGATTATTTGAGAAATTTTATTCTTTTTAAATACTGCATTGTAAGAACTGATGTAATGTCTCTTTAAATCTGATGTTGGAAGACTAAAAACAAATTTATGAATAAACAATTTACCTAAAATTAACCTTAAATCGAGCTTTCATGTACATTTTTTCGGATGTAATTATATTTAACACTCCTAATAGACAAAGTTTATAATAAAACTTATGCGCATTCACACCATGCGGGAATTATTCTTGCTCCAGGAGACGCTAATGTAGGCGCACATTCGATGCATCAAGAAATTCTTTTCAATTAATATATGAATTGGCGTATGTTTGCTGTTGTCTTAAACACTAGAATGTATCTACAAAACAAAAATTTACCGTTAAAGCATGAATGTAAGTTCTTGGTTGTGTACTGCGGTTATTTAATTTAATTTAATTTAAACTTCAATTTTTTACCGTTTTTAAAGTGTATTACATACTTTTATACGATATTATTTCTTTCTGTTCAGTTAAGTTTAGCTCGTACTCGATTTTAGAAGTAGATTTAATTTTAAGAATTAGTGTATATGCATCCAAGGAAAATGATTCCTTATAAAAAATCGTAAAAATAACTATACGTACTCTTACGTGCATGGAATCTTACTATACTGAGAAATTTTATTGTTACGGAACATTAAATATAGTGGAAATTTTATTGTTGCGGAACATTAAATATAGTGGAAATTTTAGTGTTACCGAATATCATATATTGTATACATTACTCCAAGTAGAGTAAGAGCACATTTTAAAAGTAGAACATTTGTAAATTCAACTGTTTCATTTCATTTAAAAAATGCCTTAAGATGAGTGTTTTTACCTTTAAGAAAGGGAGGCGCGTAATTTTGTTTTGTGTCAACAAATATTAAATACATTTAATTAATATTTGCATTATTGGCTTAAAAACTTTGTTCAAATAAGTAAAAAAACCATAGAAAATTAGATGTCATACATAAAACTAATTAAATACAATAAACTATAATTAACCATATTCAGTATTCCTCGTATTGCATTTCGTCTATGATATGAAGAGATCAGGGAGATCACTCACTTTTACGTTAGCTTCCTTACGCTCCCTTGCGTGATATTGAAGCAACTGCACATGCTCGCTTTTATTTCAGATGCTCCGTATCTTTAAGTTATGTTGGCCTGACTTACGCTTTAAAGACAAAGCTACAAAAACGCTGCTTATAGGTGTTGCAGATTTAAAGGAAATTTAATGCGCATGGAAAAAAAATTAGAAATGAATCAAGTTATCTTACAATAACTTGTTCATTCAACAAAAAAAAACATTTTATTTGTTTTATGCTAAATATTATTGTTGTTTAAATGCACTAGTTTCATAAGAAACTAAATATATTTTGGCTATTTCAAAACTATATATATATATATTTCTCTTACACGGCGACAAAAAAAAAAGCCTCATTACAACTCCCCGAAGGGCAACGCTGGAAAATCGACCAATGATTGCCGTTAAATATGTCACATGCCAAATCTAGGTGAGATGGCTCAGCATATAGCGCTTTAAAAAAACGGAAACTAAAATAACCAGAGAGAGCATAGGCTAGGCCGAGGTGAGTAGTCTTTGTCGATACATCTTTATTTTAGCATTTCGTCGAAAGCGCTTTTTTTTACGAATTTAAATAAGCATTGTGAATTTATTTGACGATTTTTGATTTATATCACGAATTTATTTGTTTTACTGGAATTTATTTGTTTATGCAGGTTTTTTCATTGCAATGCCCTTATTTCAATTTTTAATAGACTTAATTATAGCCAAAATTTTAACCTTTTTAAAGAGATATCAGTTTTATAAATTTTATCATAAGATTTTATACTATAGCACATTTCTAACAGGTTTAACGAATTACATGTCATTTATTTGGATTCAAATTCATTTTAATAACTTAGTATTTACTAAAAAGATTTAATTTTTTTGAAAAAAAAGTTGTTATTTGGATTTGAATGATTGTTTTGAATTCTTAATATTTTGTGTATTTGAAATGTACCTAAGCTAGCAGCGAGCGAAGCGAGCTTTGTTTGCGAAGCAAACAATATAAGATTGCGTAAGAATTTTCGGGGGTTCGCAAGCGTTAGCGACCAGGGCGCGCAGCCCACTAGTAAATTCAATTACTTAACAATACTGCTTAGTTAAAATGAGTTAAACATTTAATAAAAGTTCTATGCTATTTTTAAAGTAATGATAATAATAATAATATTAAGCTGCATTCTTTATCGTTGAATTCATCAAAATCTTTAATCTACCAAACTTTTCAGCTCATAAAATCACAGTTTTACTTAAAGTACAGCATATTGAATCGTATTGCATAGCTCTTGCAAATTCACGGTAACTTCCCTACGCTGAAGTATGTAAGGTCTCAAGTAATTGCGCATGCGTACTTCTAGTGCGCTTGCGTCAGGTTTAGTAAAATACCCATGCACCCATGGCAAAAAATATCCAACTTAGGTAGAGGAAAATAAGAGATTTTGATTCCATAAGTTAAAAATGCTTAGGTGGCGGAAAGTCACATTAACTTGAACCACAAATTGAAAACAAGCATTTATAATTAAAGCAAATGATCTCTGAAAATCAGCGGCGTGCGACTCAAGCTGTTTTGTTCTACGTAAATGTGCAGTTTTTTGAGAGGAAATAATTGGTAAATTTTGATGAATTTAGTAATAGAGGATGCAGCTTATTATTTTGATTTGTGAACGTAGATTAAAGAAATTTAGTTTCTCTATGAAGCAGACAAATAATTATAACTTACAGTAATTGTCTTTGAACTACACTCGTAAGTGAGAAGTAATATAGAACGATTTATTTCTAAATTTCATCAGTACGTTGTTTTTTCAAATTCGCATTCCATGCCCATGTTTTCAGTTTGAAAGTTGGCTTAAACAGAAGACAACATTTAACAGGTATAAACACAGCTTTGTTAAGTGTTAGGCAGATGTACATGGAATCTCTAAAAATTAAATTTGATAAAGCACTCGATTCAAGGCTATGGTATAAAAAGATTACAAATTATATTAATGTTTTTTATTTAACGAAAAAGGATTAAAAAAGATAATTATTTGGTTCTTAAATGTTAGGAAATATGTAATGTAAACTTTATGGCATTTTATTCGAAACGAAAATATTTAATAGAACGGAACGCTGTCTTTCAAATTAATCGTATACATTATTTTCTTATGTATATGAGTTACCTTTTCTCCCTAAATCTTTATTATAATTACTCTTGTTTTTCAGTAAAGCTTTGTTATTTTATATGTACCAAATCATGCCTGACACCCTGAACTACCTGGGATTATGGGACACCTACCAAGATACCAAGATATCTAGTAAATCCCTTAATTTTAGGTGTAGGGATCAATATACACATTTTTATAGCGGTAACACTAGAACGATTAAATAACCATTGAAATTGGATGAAGCCATGAAAATAAGAAATGTTGTTTCAGTTTCTGTATAACAAAGCAAAAAAAGAAGAAGGAGAAAACAGAAAAAAACCCATCCGTCTAATAAGGAAATTTAGGTGTCCAATAAAGTGTGTGTAATAAGAAAAAGAGGGACGAGTGTGAGGAGCTCCTGATGAGGCTGATCGTAACTTTTATATAAGAAATTTTTTTTCCTTTGTCTTTCATTGGGTGAAAAATGTATGGATGAACAAAGATAAATTGGTGCTCTTTTCAGTTAATTAAAACTTTAACTATATACAAAATAATATTGCTGCACATTTGTTCTTGTAAAATATTTCTTATTTACAGGTCAAGGTTGCTCACTTCGTAAGGTTCCGGATGACGACTTGTATCACACTCAGTATTGTACCTGCTCTGAGGGATTAGAATGCGAAAAATATCCTTACAATGTAAGTACTTATTTACTTTTAAAAGTTTTTTTTATATCTTTTCCTATCTTTAAATGTTTCTAAACTAAATTCAAAACATCAAAGTTCCACTCTATAATTATTTTCATTAATATTTTTCAGATTTCGCTAATTCACGTTAGCTTCCGTAATATTACCTAGCGTTTTTACTAGTACATTAGCGCTCGTACGTCAGTTATGGTGAAATGGGCATGAGCTCGTTTTTTTTCATTCCCTGAATGTCTTCAATCACGCAATATCCTTAAAGAATGAAATTCTAAACGTTTTATTGAATTGAAATAAAAAAAATGAACTAATGCCGTAGATTACATTAATTCAATTAAAATATGAAAAGAAATCAATAAAATAATCAATCTAGCCAGTAATTAAGCTTTACTCCGCTGCATGGGGCTTAAGCCTCATGTTCGAGTTTTACCATTTCACCACGCATTGAAAAAGGACGTGTTGCTCTTTATTTTTCGCTAGCATTAAAATGGAAAAAATATATTTAACTTTGGCAAAAACTAAATAAAAATTAACACTTTATAAGTATATAATAAGGCAATTTTGATTTACATTGTATGTTTTTTACAGGATTATGGAATTTGCCGGGAATATGGCGAAAAGAAAGATCTGCCTCAGTGAATTTAAAAAAATAAGCATTCGATTTCACGAATTAAACTTTTGTAATCACACAAAAGGAATGCATTTTATAACCATTTATTTTACAAAATTGTCAAAACTCGCTGACAACAAGATAGTAATTGCTTTTCAAAGAATCGACCACAATAAATATTCTTGATCAATTAGTAAAGATGATGCAATGTTTTCATAGACTATGACAACATTTCTTCACAGGCGTATGGAAGTTAATCAAGAGAGATTTATGCATAGACAATACTAAACAAGGGGTCATTGAGTTACGGTAAGCTTCGGGTTTTTTCACAAGAAACATTATGCTACAAAAATAATTATAATAGGAAACATTAAAGAGAGGGATGAAGTAATAAAATATATGAGAATGAGAAAAACGGTAATTATGTAAGAAAACAAAGAACCCTTACCAGACAATATCCATATCATTTAGATCTTTTCGAAAAACAATAAAGGTACTGTTAGTAATGAAAAAAATTAGACTAAGTATTAATAAATAATAAGTAATAAATTGTTATTTAACTATTTTTCCGAGAAATTTCAAGCAATGTAAGCAATAGTATTTTTTGTTAATTTGATGATAGTTCATCATAATTTAGGAATTTTGCATAGCTACATCTAAACTCCTTTCAAAACATTATTTAGTATTTATTGTCTTACAAACTATTATTGTATACTTATGTGGCATTCATTGTTTTTCTTGAATAAAGATTTTTTTTTTTCTTCGAATTGATCTTTTAAGTGTTTTTTTAATAATTGTTGAAAACAATTACACTGCCAAACATTATACTGTCACACCGAATATAGAGGCGACTACTTGACACCAAGGTGCAGTGAAACACCTTGCATAGTGTTTGGATCTAGGTTTTTCACTGCACCAAACATTTCTTTCACATTACATGGTGCAAAGCAGCCCCAATCATTTTTGTTATTCAGTAACACTAAAATTAATAGTTATAGTAAGGTAAGATACGCATAAGTAAAGTTCATTTTTACGATTCTATATAAAGCAAGAATCATTAATTCAGAAAAAATATGCATTATAAGTCTTCGAATTAAATCAGTTTCTAAATCAAGCATGCACGGAGCACAGTTAGAATATTATATAAAGTTTAATTTAAAGTTTGGATGAAACTTTAATTATATATTGTTTTTACACATGCTCCATAATATAATAATTTAACTCATGTACTACATTTCATTGTTTTTGCATATGCGACATATTACTACAGTTTTGTTCATGCAACATATTGTAATGTTTTTCGCTCATGCAACTTATTATAATATTTTGGCGAGCATTAAAACTTAATTAAAATGATTTTGAACATAGTTCCTGTTGTCATAGCGGTAACTAAATGTTTGAAAGCAATTTAACATTTTTTGAAACATTTAAATTACATTATAAGATTTTTGCGTGACTTTCCCTATATCAATGTTCAGATATGAGCGTATGTTTTTTTTAAATCTTTCCCATGTAAGAAATACATTGCAAAGAAGAAGGTAAGTAAGACATTAATAAGGTTAAAAAACATTAAAATACATATTCTGAGCGGCGATGACTCAGGGGATAGAGCGTTAGCCTTACAATTAGATGAACCGGGGTTCGATCCCGGCTATAGCTGGTCGTTACGAATTTCGCATCGTGCTTGCAAAGACCACAGTGCTAACGTGAAACATCTTCAGCGAAGGACGGATTATGGTTTACAGTCTCCTTGCCATCAGGTTAACCGTGGAAGATTCTCGTGGTCTTTCTCTCCATGTAACGCAAATGCGTGTTAGTTCCATCAAACAGTCCTCCACGAAATTAAATTTCTCCCAATACTTGATCCGCGAGTTACCTTGTCTTCTGGATTGGGGTCAAAATTACAAGGTTACGGAGTTGAACATTAGTAGTCGTAAACCCAAAAATTTAGTCAGCTGTTCAACGACGGTTATGTAAAAATATAAAATACATATTCTAAAAAACAATATTGGTAATATTTCAAAAAATATTTGATGATACTGTGGTTTTATTATTTTTACACATGCTCCTAAATATAATTATTTAACTCATGCACTATATTTTATTGTTTTTGCATATGCGACATATTACTACATTTTTGTTCATGCAACATATTGCAATGTTTTTTGCTCATGCAACTTATTATAATATTTTGCAAGCATTAAAAACTTAACTAAAATTATTATGAAGATAGTTCCTGTTGTCATAGCGGCAACTAAATGCTTGAAAATATTTTAATATTCTTTGAAATACAATGATAGGATTTTTAAGATTTTTGTGTGACTTTCTATGCTGCAATATTCAGATAAGTGCGTGGGATTTTTTTAAAATCTATTCCCAGTAAAAATATATTACAAAGAGGAAGGCTAGTGAGACATCTATAAGGCTAAGAAACATTGAATTACATATTCTAAGAAACATAATAATGACTTAAAAATAAAGAAAATTGCTGTTTTCTCTAATTCTTACCTATAGATGTGTAAACATCAATGTTCATTGTTTCGCTGCATGTACCTCGTAGTAAGTATGTACTATACTAGCAAAAATTTCGAAAAACAATTGACACAAATGCTTGTTCGAAGAAAGAGAACATAGTTTTATGAATGAAAGTTATGGGAGTTCAAATCATACAATAGAAGTATTTTTCAAACGGCTTGCTTGAGATGATAGGTAATATTGCAGTGAAATAGGAAGCTACGCTGATTGCTGGCGGACATATTTTTTTCGAAAGTTTTTGGAGTATTGAAAACCCTGAAATAGAATGAATGAATCCTAGAAAATCTCTTTACAGTGCATATGAATGAGTAATATACCATATTACATAATATTTTCCAATGTTCCTTTATATGAACACAAACTTCTAAAAAAAAGGTAGTAAATATCTGCTTATTTGATTTATATAGTTTCAATTATTAGCAGTATAGTATTTTTTTACGGATTAATAAAATAATTTCTCAAGTTTTCACATGAAATGTTTCTGCCTTAAACGGTCTTGAAGTACTATCTTCAAAATTTTAAATATTAGTATATTATTTCAACAGCGACTTTATTATTTTACTTTCGAAAAATGTAAGTTATTTAGATGCACATTCTAATTTATTTGAGATATTACTCCGAATGCATAATACATATAAATAGTCTATGAAAAAGTATTTTAACCATATAATATTTTACTCCCATAGTATTTAATATAAGTATTTGAACCCTCAATTGAATTATAATATATAAACATGTATTTTAACCCTTGAATGAATTATATTTTTCAACTAAATAAAATTCCTTTTCAGATAAATAATTTTCAAATTATACTTTTTCCCCAGAACTTTCTTAAATGGCAATATTTAAGAAAAAATTGATTTTGAGAAACACTTTTTACGCTAACATGCAAGTAATACATAA